AGCTGCTCCGTCTTTATTAAAGTGTAAATGTTGTTCATCTCCTGCGTCTGCAGCAGCTTAATGAGAAGCTTAATGAGGAGGTGGGCGCCGTTAGCCTTTAGCCGTTAGCGCTAAACATCACACAGAGACCAAACACAGTGGTGTGTGTGTGTGTGTGTGAAGTTCAGACAAACGAATGAACGTGTGAAGAACCAAATTTTTCTCCTGATATTTGAATCTTTGTTAATTCTCATTGTTGATTTCTCTTTTCTAAGCAGCGCCCCCCTCAGGCTAGACTGAACTACCCGTGTGCAGCTGGTGGAGTTTGTGTAAAGCTCAGATGGTGGTGTCACTGCCTTACAGTCACCAGGTCAGTGGTTCGATTCCTAACCTTTCTACTGTATTTGGAGTCCTGAGTTCTGTGTGTGAATTCCCTCTGGAGACATGAGTGTGAACGAGTGTGAACAGTGGTTTGTTTTTCTATGTGACTGTGTATGGGTTGGAGGAACTGTCCAGTTCACCCCCACTGCCCCCCCGCTCCCATGACCTTGCAAATAAATTAGTGGTAGAATATAACCCACAACAACAAATTAGGGTGCCACAGGTTGAGCCACCTCCATGTGACCATTAAAGCTCTGAACATACAAACTCTATGTACTACTGTATGTACTCCAAGACATTTTTAGCCAATCAGATGCCTGTTAGTATTCTAGCATTATTTGAACAGTGTAGCGCCCCCTGGTCTGACCACAGACTGACCACATGAGCTGTTCTGCCGTTCGCTCTGCATCGACGTCGGCTCTCGTCAATAATTCACTCAGAACCCTGGGAGTGGGCGGGCGACACTGACAAGAGGCTGGAGAGAGAGAGAGAGAGACATAAACATATTAGTAATGATGCTGTGGACCAGACTGTGGGACAGACTGTGGGACAGACTGTGGGACAGACTGTGGGACAGACTGTGAGACAGACTGTGAGACAGACTGTGGACAAGACTGTGGGACAGACTGTGGGACAGACTGTGGGACAGACTGCAAACAACTCTAGACACAAAAGTGATGCATTGTGGGTCGTTTGTTTCTAGGCTTCACTGTAGAATTGTTGTTTTTTTTCTCCCAGAGCGTGGGCCACCTTTACGGTTGTGTCTGGACCACAGGTGGTCCGTGTGCCGCCATTTGAATAGGCT